AGCTTCTTACAGCCCCACGGACACCTTCGTAGGTCTTACCCTCGCAGTACAGTGCTGCCTGGCAATACCGCTCCCGCAGCTTGTGATTGCCAGTGTTTGTCCTCCCGCAGCCTCCACTGGCTGATCGAGACTATTCGTGTGCCCGCAATCTGCGTACTATGCGTAGGGGACACCAGCAGGCCATAGAGATGACCATAGCACGATGCTTGAGGTACGGAGTGTTCAGATGCTGCCTAATGGCCGGTCCGTGCTCGGGATGTGATGCACGCATTACTCCTTCCCTGTACGCATGAGTAGGTGCACTATCTATACACGTCCGAGTCGGGCCTAGTGTTTGGGACATCAATATTGTAAGTAAGAAGCTGCGGCCTCGCTTTTCTCTCGCGCATCAAGCAAGCGCCTTGCGTTGCTCAAGCACTGACATTTGTACCTCTCTTTTCAGGCTCAAGTAGAGCAGTAGGCTCACACAGGTTTCTCAGAGGCTAATCTGGCGCAATCCACTAGAGTGGGTTAGATCCCTGTAATAACTGTTTGTTTACTGTTTATAAACTGTTTATAAACGTTTACAACCATTTACTGTGTGTTTACAAAAAAAGTTTACACGTAAACTAAACGGTTGGAGCCTTAGCGTCTATTTTTCACTCACCCTGCGACCGCCATGGCCTCTGCAACAGGTATATTACCTCACTGTATGTCCAGCTTGAATATTTTTTTAATATGCATGCGCAGCAACAGGAAAACTCTCACGAGAAGAGTATCGTAAACAAAAGGATCTCGATGCGGCTCGGAAAGCGGGCACCGCACCAGCAGCTGTAGATTCAGAGGGCAAAGTCATCAATCCCCACATCCCTCGTACGTCTCTCTTGCTACAATTTGTGTTCATCTCCTCCTCACTCAACCGACAGAATACATTGCGCAGGCCCCATGGTATCTCGACACAGGCGCACCCTCACTAGCCCACCAGCGTATTCCGGAGTACGATCGCTCCGCAGACAAGCTCGACAACTGGTACGACCGTGGGGCCAAGGCTGGACCTGCAGCGAAGAAGTACAGGAAAGGCGCTTGTGAGAACTGCGGTGCCATGACACACAAACGACAAGACTGTCTGGAGCGGCCGCGAAAGCGGGGAGCAAAGTATACAGGATCGGACATCGCGCCGGACGAAGTAATCCAGGATGTTGCGGCGGGCTACGATGCGAAGCGAGACAGGTGGAACGGATACGACCCAGCGGAGCACAAGAAAGTCTATGAGGAGTACCAGGCGGTGGAGGCAGCGCGACAGAAGCTTAGGGAAGAGGAGATCGACAAGCAGACGACGACAGACTTAGCTGCTGTACGCAAGGTCGCGAAGGCAGGGAAGGAGAAAGCGGAAGGAGAGAAGAAGGACGACGATTTCGGTAGTAGCGATGAAGATGACGAAGATGCGGACAAGTACGCCGAGTCCGCAGACGCTGTCGGTCAGAAACTCGACACCAAGACCCGTATCACTGTGCGTAATCTGCGTATCCGAGAAGACACAGCGAAGTACCTCATCAATCTCGACCCGTCATCTGCGTACTATGACCCGAAAACACGATCGATGCGCGACAACCCACTGATGAATGTCCCGCCTGAAGAAGCCCGCTTTGCTGGCGAGAACTTCCTGCGATACTCTGGTGAAGCCGCCGATGTACAGAAGCTCCAGCTCTTTGCTTGGCAAGCGGCTTCACGCGGCAATGATGTGCATGTAACTTCAAATCCCACCGAGGGCCAGCTCCTTCATCAGCAGTACCAGAAGGCCAAGGAGCAGCTTAAGGATACAACCAAAGTCAGCATTCTAGCGAGATATGGCGGAGAAGAGTACCTCCAGAAGGCGCCGAAGGAGCTACTACAGGGTCAGACGGAGGAATATGTTGAATTCTCTCGGACGGGCCAGATCGTGAAGGGCCGGGAGAGGGCCAAGGCGCGATCGAAATACGCCGAAGATGGTATGTTTGTTGTCCTCAACCTTATGCATAACATTTTAAACGTGCCACAGTGTACATCAATAATCATACTTCCGTCTGGGGCTCTTGGTACGACTTAGCCACGAGCCAATGGGGCTACGCATGCTGCCACTCCACCGTACACATCTCGTACTGTACTGGTCAAGCTGGCATTGCAGCTACCCAGGCTTCAAGTGCGCAGAACCTCCTTGCTTCCTCTTCCGAGCCGTCGACTTCCGCTGTTGCCTCGGGCTCGACAGAGCCAACGATATCCACTAGCGAGACATCAGAAGATCGGCGGCGAAAAGCGGAGAGTTTGTTCTCGAAAAAGCGTCTCGGAGAAGGCGACCTACAGCTTGACGAGAGTCGGCTGGCGGAGGCGATCAAATCTGAGCGCAAGCGGAAGGGTCGTGGTGGTGAGGATGAGTACGAGTGGGGAACTGGGAAGAAGAAGAAAGGCGGCGACACTCACGAAGTTACAGAGGAGGAACTCGGTATGTCTCTTTCTCCCTCCTTGAGGATAATGACGCTAATCGGCTCTATGCAGAGGCATACAGGATGAATAGACGTATAACCGAAGATCCGATGGCCAACTATGTCGACAAAGATCTGTAGACTCCGCCACCCCCAAATTTCCGGCATCCGCACCACATGCGAGGTCCGTCGTGTAATCCACTCTGCACTTCTGCTCTTTCCTGCTTTGTATATTACGCTACGCGAGAGAAGCGTCCCAGCTTACCTGCATTTAAATCCATCCGCTTCGGTGTCTGTCTGCCTAGCGAACAGTTTGGCTATAAACCGGTAAGGAGATCCACTGAGCGTCAAAAGTAAATGAGCACCCATGCCGCTCGGGATCCAGCCATTATTGCAACACGAATTTCAGAGATACTCCCACAAGGTCTTAGATCTTAGCTTGTACGTTTGTAGAAAATTGTAATACATTGATTGGTATGCAATAGGGCCAGTTTCTAGAGCAACTTTTGCATACATAGTGTAGGTTTAATTGCAAAATCTGTACTGCGGCCTAGCAGCCTTACTAATAACTGTTTTTGAAGTTTCCCTTGCTTTAACAAATATTTGAGGCCTTTTCAGATATTTTACATGAGAGAATTCATGCTCTGGAATTTTAGGGAGTAGAAGCGCTACATATCCTCCCAGAAGCCCATATGTACTCTCTGAGTACTCAAACGGCCACCATTAAAAATGCCCAACGACCCTAGAGAAAAGACTCACAAACGTCTAATCGTGCACGAGCTTTCACGAGGACCAGTCTCCGTTGAGACATTCCGACGAGGATTTGTGCAGGATGTTGCAATGCGATGCCGTGGAATTGGCAATCATCATTTTTATCTTACTGTTACAAATAAAACGCAAAATTTTCCCTCCTTTCACGTGACACAATTGCATGTAAACACTGACAACCCCTACCAGAGTGCCCGTGGAGAACCGATGTTAGCCTGTAAGCCAGAGAAGTCTGTCTCGAGCTGTCTCCCTAAGGCAGGAACGTGCTTTTGATAATGTCTGCCGCTGCAAAGCAGTCAGCAACCTGGACGCTGTATTCTTAGAACTATAACACACCTTGCTCAGCTATCGCATACGCAACAGCTACACGCGTCAACCCAATATCAACCATACACGCTCGCAACAGATAGCCTGACGTACATACATTGCAGGTGTGAGGCAACGTTCAGTGGGACAATCGACAGGTCGACGACCCTGAGGTTATTTGTGCAGTACACTTTAAGTTCGTGATCAACAACGCCGCCCTTGTCGCGCGGCGTCATCGAGCAGGTGCCGCACGTGTACCACGTCGTCCCGCAAGCCGTCTTCACGAACTCTGTGTGCCATACATCAATGTTTGAATGTGGCAGGGGGAAGCGGACAGGAATTTGCCCTTAAACTGCTCGCCGTTCTGCACGGCCAGCCCCGGCATGACCTCCTTCTCGATCATGTCCTTCAACGGCGCATGCTGCACAATGTTGCGCACGAACTTGGCGATCTCCATGATCACGTCGAGGTCTACGACGGGGCGTCAGTCGAATGTATATTTGGTAAACAGAGACGACGCAACGCACCACTTCCGTACTCAAAGTATTGCGGGTTGAACTCGGGCTTAACCACCGGGTCGCTCGACGTGATATGCTGCACCGAAACCGTCCGTCAGAACGTGGGCATCGGCAGGCATCACGAGCGGCAGCTAATTACGACGTGCCCCCGCGAGAACGGATGGGGAAAGCGTCGTCGTTTTGAGCCTCTGTGAGGTGCTTGAGTAGCGAGTGACACACATCGTGGACGAAATTAATGCCATTTTGACGCAAGAGTGCGAAGACGAGGTGCGTGGTATCTGTGCGCACATGAAAGAGAGCGCTGAGAAGGATCGAGACCGTGTAGGTGTCAACGGCCACTCCCGATATGCTCATCTCCTGAAAGATCGTCTTGATGCCCTTCATGTCTCGTTTCCATGCGTAGTGTCTAAAAAGAAACGGGTGAAGGAAGTGGCGCTAGGACGCGGGCCTTTGGTCTGCATGTGGGCGAGGATTTGAAGTGCCGTATCGACCTGAGGTCGGCGTAAGAGCCAGTCTAGTACGGTATATATCGTAAACGACCAACACCGCAGGATCGTCGGCGGGAAACGACTTTGCATCGACGAGCTTTCAAAAAGCGTGGAAGAGGGACATAGCGTGCTGTATGCGGCCTTTGCTGAATAAAGAGGTGATGTAGGCTGCGTAGACCACCGCGCCTGAGGTATGCTCCACGGAATGTAATGCATCCCACGTCGCTCGCTCGCGATCGAACCTTTTAATGGAGACGAATCCATCAATGACGGCTGTCCAGACACACATCGGCATTGGCGAGACAAGCTTGCTCACATCGCCCCAAAAACGTTCTGCGACGTCAAACCGGCGGATCCGTATGAGTCTCCAGATGAGTATGACCCAGTGCTTGTCTTCTTTTACCACATGGAGTCGATCAGAATCAACAAGTTTGGATCCCTTGAGATCGATACAGGTATCACTCCGCGAACACTCTTCGAGGATAGCGTTGCTGGCATTCGAGAGGGTGCGAGATTCACTGTCTGGGCCTGATATTCGCTCAACATATCTGCGAAAAGTGGTCAAGGGGAGAGAGCACATCTTCGCGGCGTGAACGCGGGAGGCAAATTTCAACACTTTGTTGAGTAGGCCTAAGTCTTCCGTAATAGCCAGCATAGCCGAAGTCATTGAGTGATACGTGTAGCGGAAAAGGACTTCTTGCAAGAAGGCTTTCACCGCGGAAGAGAATGAGCCCTTCATGGCATGTGCCGTCAGGAAATAGCAGACTGTCCGGGGATGGTGGACCGCTCGCAGGCCTACGGCATGAATGAAACGGTTGTATGATTCCCCGAGACCATGCCCCTGAAATTGCTTGAGGTAGGCTTCACGTTCCAGCATCAGTGTGCTGAGGATGTCGAAAAGGGACAGCACTGCATCAGGATTTCTCTTCAACGTGTAGTGTCGCATGCGCGCCCACAGACCAACACCGTCACGGGGATCCTTTGTAGCTGCAAGTGCCGCCAGCTCGTCAACGACACTGAGATCTATGTAATCGGAAAAACTACGACTTGTTTGAAGGTTTGCAATGAGATCCGAGTACTGGGAAGTACACTCACGGTTCGTGAAGTTGAGAG